GGGGGTATTTTCTTAGACAATTTACATCATTAAATAATACAATGACTTTCATTTGGGCCTATACCTTATTAGGGATATAAGAACTTAAGTACATTTTGTTCTTATGTAAGAACTTCATTCATTTAGAAATCCTTCATTTCTTTATGGCCTACTTATTGCAAAGTAAGAACTTATATTATTAAAAGGGGATATGCTTTCTTGTTTCTCAGATTCTATAAATCTACATGAGACTCTTAAGTTTCATCAGTTGTTCATCTAAGAACAGAAAATCATGAATTGTTTAGCAGAAAAAGGAATATAACATATAATTACATATATGTTAGGTAGATACATAGATGTGCATACTGATGTTGGATCATTTTGCCAGTGAACAAATACAAGGTCTTTTCTTTGGGGCATACTTAATGGGCCATTCCTGTTAAAGAAGGTAAAATCATTTGCCTTTTCTGAACTAATTCCTTTCAGTTATTTAGCAATATTAAAAATGTTAGTTGAAAAACCATTTGTAATAACAAACCAAAGTGAATTTGGCTTCTTCCATATTATTCAATGTCTTATGACCATCAGCTTATGTTACTTTAGTCTTTGCTATTTATTTTTCCTTCCACCATTTTAAATTTACTTAGTGAAGGGCTGAATAAAAAACATTTAATGCATTCATTATACATATACCTCTATATCTATATATCTACTCACTTCTCTCTCCTTCTCTCTCTCTCAAATAAAGTTTATAGTTCAAAAACAGAGCAAGTGCATTGACTGACTTTTAGAATATAAATAGATATTTGCAACTTAAATACTATCATCCTCGTTTTATGACTAGAGAAACTTAGTTACTGAACCAGATACAATTTTTACAATTGACTGTTCTTTTGTGAAATGTAATAGTTCTTAAAGATGTAGAAAAGTCTTTTATTGGGCTAAAAATAAGTAGAAAAGTACACATTTAACCAAATGTAATTACTTGCTTATAATATGCAAGTATACACCATTCGGCGATGGCTTCTTTTATAAGTATTAATCTTTGAAACGATAAGTAAGAGTGAACTTGATATCTTTTGCCCAAAGATGCCTCATCTATAGAGTGGAAATCACTTTTTCAGTCTTGTCCTTAAATCGATGGCCATGTGTTAGTGCCTTGCCAGGAGTAGCTCTCTAGGTACAAGACAGAGGTGCAAGAATGAGCTAACCCACTTCTTAAAGAACAACTGTATTGGCATTTTGAGGGGTCTTAAGCCAGCTATAAGAAATGTCAGCCCTATAAAGGAGAATAAATTGAACAAGAGGGATAGAAAACGTAGATGTCTCTATGGAGGAACTGAAGGCTTCATTTCTGAAACCATTAGAGAAAGTAAAATTATAAGGATTTCTTCCTCTAATGTAAGATTTTCCCCCAAGTTTTTTCTTATTTTTTAAAAAATTTTAAGTAAGTTTGGAAATATGGAAAAGTGGGTCAGTGAGCAGGATGTTTAACTTTATAGATGCAAACACTTTTAAATTTCACTTTGACTCTCTATTATCTTTTAGGGACTCAGAGACCTAATATAGACCATCTGGCAATTATGTCACAGGGAGAGGACCTTTGTCCTTAGTTTAACCCTTGGGTTTTCTGCCTGTTTACTATTTGGAAATAAGAATGTAAATCTTTTACTGTTAGTAGTATGTTTGAAGCATATACAAGCAGCCATATAAACCGGGTGAAATGAATGACCAAAGAGAAATTACAGAGGCTAGGCTGTTAGGTCGGTGCTTCAGTGGCATGCATCACCTTTTCTTCTGTTCCATACAAGTATGCACAACATAAAAAACTACGTGTTACATGTTAAGAACTACTTAAGTGACCTTAAAATATCTTACCGTACTTCAGTAATTGTGCATCAGCTATAAATATAAATTTCCCAGAGATGTTATCTAAATAGTTTTTATTTCCCTCCATCAAACATCATGCCATCCCTCCCCAGTAAACCTGGAATTACCCAGTAAACCTGCCGTGTTCCTTTCACATTGCAGGGACTGAATAACTGTCTGTTAATTTTCCTCTCTCTGGCCAGTTTAAACTTTCTTGTTGGTTATTGCTGAGGTGCTCAGTTGCAGAAGGAGGGTGAGACCTAGTGGCAAAAGTTGTTTTGACTTTGTGTTTAGAAAACACAGAAGCTCTTC